CTGTTGGGCAGTCGACTTGCCGTCTCAAGTGGGCAACGTCCGCGGCGATACCGACAGCGAGCCCTGTTCCAAATAGACAAGAACTGCTGTCGGACTTCGTCCCCGTTATTTCCGTGCCTATTCCGATCGCACGGAGGAGACGGAGGAAGAGGAGGGGTCAGAAGAGCGAGCACTGCGTCATACATCTAAACGTGCCCTGCCCCAACACCTCAACCAGCAGCGACTGTCCGCAACAAGCGACGGCAGCCGCTGTTGGGGAGCCCTACGCACGCAGCCTGGCAAGAAATGTGACAAGCACCAGTGAAAGAGTACGATTCTCACAGATCTGATATGTTCAGTCCGTCTGCCCCGCAACAAAGAAACGCGTGGTACACACAAGAACAAGCAAAACAACCTTGATGCGTGCGGGGGAGAGGCGGTGCAGAGGGCAGATGGTCTTGAAGAAGACACAGAAACGTGATAAGAAACGGGATGGGAGCATCATGCGTTCTCTCACGGGTGTCCGCTCATCGTCCTCGCCGCCCACGACCGCTTCCACCGCTCCCCCCCTCTAGCCTCCGCTCCCCCCAGACAGCCGACGACTTGATCTGTTCGAGTCCCGGGGCCCCAGACATCTCGACCCCTGCGTTTCGTCCCGAGTCGTCTCTTGACGGTCCCCAGGGCCCGGAAGCGGGTTCCAGAAGAAGAGAGTGCGGTTCAAAACAGAAGCATCGCTGCTCTCTAACTCTCTGAGGACCTTCGGGCCCCTCGGTACTGACGACACGGGGGATCGCAAAAAAGGGGGGGGGGTCAGCGAATCAGCAGACGCGGCTGGTCATCCTGGGGCCTCCCGGCGCCAGAGGCGCCAGCGCATCGGGGAAAGGGACTGGCGGCGGAGCCGAAGACAGCGGCATGCGCCAGATGTCGTACTGCAGGTCCGTGCCGTGTCGACCCTGGCGTTGGTTCCCGACACCGCGCTGGATCGTTCAACCTTGAACGATCGGCCATTTCCGCAACGTCCGATCGTTCAACATCGACCGATTCTGGGTCGCCCGCGGCGTTCAACCTTGAACGCCCGCGCTGGGGTCGCCGCTGGTCGACACGACGCAAACCTACCGTACTTGCCCCATGGTTCCCAATCACCCCCGCTCGTCCGACCCAAGAGATCCCTGCTTGTCGGGCTGTCCGGCCATACCTCGGGTCCCCAGCGGCCGTTCGAAACGACTCGCGCTCCGGGCATCCCCCAGAACGCTCTCGGCGAGGCGCCCGCTGCCGGAAGGCATCCCGAGGCCAACGAAACAGCCGCTGACCGACGAGAACATCCGAAAACCTCGAACCTCGACCCGAGACCTCCCTCCCCACCCCCTCCAAGGGGAAACGAAGGGGGGGGACTGGCTCAGGGGGGGAAACATCGACCTGGGCTCGGCGAGGCATTGCCGACAGATCGGCGACAGGCCCCCGATGGCGAAACCGCACGCTCTGGGGCGGGGTGGGCTATCGGGCCCCTTCTGGGCGATCAATGGGCGATGGGGGGTCGATGCATCTCCCCCTGGGCCTAGCCCCCCAAACGTTGCTGGTTCTAGTTTGGACGCCCGAAATGGGCACGGAAACAATGGGCACAATGCCCAACAGCAAATGTTGTCCCGAACCAACAGCGGCAGCTGTTGGGCAGGCGGCCTTCTGTCTCAAATGGGCACAGGCCGCGGCGGCGCGGACAGCGAGTCCTGTTCAAAATGAACAGGAACTGCTGTTGGGCATCGTGCCCATTCTTTCCGTGCCCATCTCGTTCGCGCAAATCTAGGGCCACGACACGGCTCTCAGGCGACCGTCCTGGACGGTCAGGGCACCCCCCGAACGCCCTCGGCGAGGCGCAGCCGCTGAAGGCAGCCGCTGGACGAGAACCGACGAGCAAGTCCGAGAACCTCCAACCTCGAACCCCCCCCCTCTCCACCCGCTTTGGAAGTCCCAAACCGGTGCGGTGACTGACCGTCCAGTGACCTCGAAATCCCGATCGCCCGGCCCGTCGTCGCACAGTGTGGGGGCCCTGGAAGCACCAGCCGCTCAAGGCATCCTCAGAGAGCGGCCCGAGCCCCGAAGCCGTGCGGCCACCCCGAATCTCCACTGACTCACCACGCGCTGTGGTCACCCCACGGTTTGGGGACCCCCGAACCTCCTCAGAGGCCTCCCAAATGGGGTCCGAATGGATGGGGTCAAAGGATCGCGCCGCATCGCCGACGCATCGGCGCTGCATCGGCGACGTCGGCGACGCCTCGGCGACGCCAGCGTGGAAAAAATCTGGCTCCACATCGCGCCGCATCGGCGATGCGTCGCGATCGACCGACCCTTACTCGGACCTTCCATGAGAGGCCCTCCCCGGCTGGCGCCCGGTCTTCCTCCTCCTCCTCCTCCTCTCTCCTCCTCCTCCTCCTCCTCCTCCTCCTCTCTCCTCCTCCATCCCTCCTCCTCCTCCTCCTCCTCCCCTCCTCCTCCTCCTGCTCCTCCTCCTCCTCCTCCCCCTCCTCCTTCCCCTCCTCCTCCTTCCTCCTCCCCCTCCCTAGGCCCTAACCCTCCCCCTCTCCCTCCCCGCTTCTTCTCCTCCTCCTCCTCATCCTCCTCTTCTCCTCTTGGGCCTTCTTAGTCTTCGCATTATCATTATCAGCAGTATTATTCGTAGTAGTAATAGTGTTATGAGTCTTCTTCATATGTGTATTATTGTTCGTCTTAGTAGTATCAGTATTCGTCGTCTGAGTATGACTCGTATTCGTATGATTATCATGTTTAAGCTTATTATGTTTCATCATCCTTAAAGTACTTATACTTAGTGTTCTTAGTATACGTCTTAGTATTGAGGATTCGTTTTATCAAATGTGTTAGTATTTCTTCTCTTCTTATACTAGTATTAACCGTATTCGTGCTATGTGTATTCTTCTTCTTCTCCGTCGTCTTCGTCGTCGTCGTCGTCTTCCTCCTCCTCCTCCTCCTCCTCCTCCCTCCTCCTCCCCCTCCTCCTCCGCCTCCTCCTTCTCCGCCCCCTCCTCCTCTCTCCTCCTCCTCCTCCTCCTCCTCCTCCTCCTCCTCCTCCTCGCGCCTCCTCATCCTCTCTCCTCCTCCTCCGCCTCCTCCTCTTCCTCCTCCTCCTCGTCCTCCTCCTCCTCCTCCTCCTCCCCCTCCTCCTCCTCCTCCTCCTCCTTCATTCCTTTTCCGTCTAAGTAACTTCTCCTTGTCGCTCCCCAAGGTCAGTTGTTTGGGCGGGCCGGGCGTTTCGCCTGAGACGTCCTCACCATGTATGAGTCGAAGCTTACAAATTGGCAACATATTCACAGATGGAGGGCGGGTGGTTTTCAAAATGTGGCTCTCACTCTAACACCACGCATATTCGTTCTAAAAACGTACAAGAGCTTCACGGAGTAAGGATAGCCCGCTTTCAAAATGTGGCTCTCGCCTTAGCGCCGCGCAAATTCGCTGTGGGAATCTTCGAAAATTTCACGAATTGAGGACAACCCGTTTTCAAAATGTGGCTCTCGCCTTAGAGCCGCGCACAGTCCTTCTAACACTTCGCAAGACTTTCACAATGAGGGCGGCTCCTTTTCTAAATGGGGCTCTCGCCTTAGCGCCGCGCACATTCGCCCATAAAACTTGCAAGAGTTTCACAGATTCCCACGATCAACGTACCAGTAATGGTGCTTTGGAAGGATTCAGGATTTTGCGGGTGCAACAGTTACCTTGATTCGCGGTGTTGAAGTCCCCAGCATGGCGTTCTGGCATGATCCAGAATCGTCAACACGCAACATTCGGGTTAATCCGTGGCGTTGGAATCCCGAGAACAATGTTGTGGCATGCTTCCAGGTCTTGAAACGGTTGTCTTCCAACAAGGCAGACCCCTCAATGGAAATGAACAGTTGTAGGGGCCCAGGAAGAGGAAGCTTGGAGGGAGGGTGGATTCCACCATCGTTGTCGGCTCTTGGGTTTACACTGGACCTCCTCCTCCACCTCCTCCTGCTCCTCCTCCATGCTCCTCCTACTCCTTGCCCCTTCTCCCCCCTCATCCTTTCTCACTGCATTTTCCCCTCCTCCTCCTCCTCCTCCTCCTCCTCCTCCTCCTCCTCCTCCTCCTCCTCCTCCTCCTCCTCCTCCTCCTCCTCCTCCTCCTCCCCCTCCCCCCCGCTCAGACGAGGGCAAAATCGAGACGAAATCGGACCGATACAAATCGGAAATCTCTGAAACGTCGGGTTTGAGAGCGACCCGGAACGCTCTGAAGCGGATTGATCGCGATTCCAAGCCCGTCCGACCCGCCCCTCTCCCTCTCCCCGTAGGGGATCTACTGGCCCGGGTCAATCCAACCCCAGGCCAGTCAGGCTTAATTACTAGGATCCTGTAAGATCCTGCGGGATTCTGCAGAACCCTGCACGCCAACCCGAGCCAATTCACCCCCCCTGGCTCTGCAGGATCCTGCAAGATCGGGCGCTTTGACTGACGCCCGTTTGCATTGACCCCCGTCTCGAGAGCCCCTCTCGGCGGCGAGCCGAGGGGAAACCAGCAACGGCGGGCATCCTCAGAAGGCTCAGAGGCCCCCGCGGCCTTCCGAGAAGTGCTCTCAGCCTCCCCCGAAGACACCGAAAACCTCTCAGAAGCTCCGCGGCCTTCTGAGAAGCCCCGCCACCTTGAGGAGGAGGAGGAGGAGGAGGAGGAGGAGGAGGAGGAGGAGGAGGAGGAGGAGGAGGAGGAGGAGGAGGAGGAGGAGGAGGAGGAGGAGGAGGAAGGAGGAGGAGGCCTCCTCCTTCTCGCTTCTCCCCCGGAACGCGCCGCCGAACGTCGGTCAAAATCAATCCCCAAACCCCTCCCGGGGACCATCCGACGCGGCTTTTCACCCCGGATCGAGTTCCGGAGCTCCCAGGGACCGAAAACGGCACCCAGGGGCCGAAAGCCCGAAAAAACGCCTCGGAGCCCGCATCTCGAAGCTCGAAGTTCCTCCCATCGCTCGCCGCCGACCCTCCCCGGCTCGAGAAGGGGCGCCCAAGCACCTCGGGCAGACCTCGAGGGCGCGCACGGCGGGCCCGCCGCCGTACTGCGCGGAGCGGCCGGGGCGGGCGGGCCAAGGAGGCTCCCAGGGGGCCGACGGTCACCCTCCCAAAGGAGGAGGAGGAGGAGGAGGAGGAGGAGGAGGAGGAGGAGGACGAGAAGGGAGGAGGAGGGAGGAGGAGGGAGGAGGAGGGAGGAGGAGGGTGGAGGAGGGGGGGAGGATAGGAAGGAGGAGTGTTAGGGAAGTTGTGGGTGGGGGAAGTGAGGAGGGAGGAGGATGGGGGGCACAAGGGCATGGGGCGAAGGTGCGAGGCGTCGAGAGGCAAGAAAGAGGAGTGGGGATGGGCGAGGGGTGGTTTCATACGGGCGTGAGGAGGCGGACGAGGAGTGGGTGAGGAGGGGAAGGAGTGGAGGAAGGAGGAGGGAGAGGAGAACCGGGGGGGAGGGGAGGGAGGAGAACGAGGAGGATACTACGACGAAAACGGGAATGGGAAGGTGGAAGGGGAGGAACGAGAAGGAGGGGGACCCGCAAGGAGGACGGAGGAGGAGGAGGAGTTATGAGGGGATGAGGGGAGAGGAGGAGGAGGGAAATGAGAATGGGAGAATGAAGAATGGGAGGAATGGGAGGAGGTGGGGAAAAAAGGAGGAGTAGGAGGAGGGAGGAAAGGAGGAGGGGCGAGGGCCGAGGGGCGAGGGGCGATCGCGAGGGGCAAGCTAGGTGGGGGCTGAGGGAGAGCGGCGAAGGGTGCGCACCGCCTCCCCCTCCTCCTCCTCCTCCCTCCCTCCTCCTCCTCCTCCTCCTACCCTCCTCCTCCTCTTCCTCCTCCTCCTTTTTTTTTTGGCAGCGACGCACATCCCCCTGAACAGTGAACTGCAACAACAGCCAGAGGAGAACTGATGCAACAGAAAGAATTCACCTGTAAATCACTGCAGGGGGATGAATTCATCAAATGTCAACAAGCACACCCTTCTTGTCAGGGTGAAGGCCTTTGCGGAGCTTGCGAATATTCTTCAAGCCAGACTCCGTCGGGTGACCACAATTGCGACCCAGGCCTAGCACTTGACCACCACTGCTGTAAAACTTGCATGACATGCACAAAAACAGGTGACTCCTGTCACTGCAAGGAAACACAATGACACGGTGTCCCTTGGACTCAAAAACCCCTTGGTCCAGAGGGCAGGTCCCAGGGCAACCACCACCAAACGGTTTGGACAGGGCACGGGAACCACGAAGGCAGACTCTACAACGCCAAGTGTTTCCCTGCTTGGTCCAGTCGTGGCATACTTCTAGCAAAGGAGCGTCCGAGGACTGAGGCTTGGGAGCACGCTCTAGACCTCTGAACTCAAGCTTGAGCCACAGTGGCAGGAGCTCCGCTCCTGCCAGCAAGACGAGACGCGCAATCTTCAGCCGTCTCTGCAGGTCTTCCTCCTCAGAGGGGGACCAGCTGGGGTGAAGCAACACAGCTTCCTTAGCCGCGACGTCGGCGTAGTGGCTCCCAAGGCGCAAGAACCTCTCTCGCGCACTGAGCCCCTCTTCATCGAGGTCACGGTGAGCTGCTACCTTAACAAAGGAAGAAACATTCGACCCAAAATGCTGGCGCGCTTGAATGACTAGGCCAGCGCACTGACGCTTCCCAGAGATGGCGTCCGCCTCTCCGAGTTTCATTGCATTCACCACATTGCTGCAGTCTGAGTAGCAGTCAGAGGGGCCTTCAAAATAAAGCCCCGTCCAGGCCAGGGCCCCAAATTCAGAGCCTCGGGGGGTCTGAGGCAAAGGGGCCCAAAGAGGACCTTTGAAAACCCCGAGGCGCTCCCCAGCCTGAGAGACCATGACCACGGCCCAACCAGCCCGAGACAGCTCTCTAACCGTGTGGCGACGGCACGAGCCGTCCATGAACAGGTGCCCCCAGACCCCATCGGAAGGAAGAATGGAGGGAGGAGCAGCAGCATCTGACGGGTCAGGCAGCAGCTCCGCATACCAGTCATAGACGACACCTGTACTCGTAGCAGGAGGAGGAGCGAGATATCCTGGATGCCTCAGAGCCCCATGTAGGAATAACACTGCATCCTCAGAGTCAGGGCCAGCTTGGCGGGCTTCCTCTTGAAGCCACAAAGGAAGAACTTCATCGCGCTCCTGCTGAACAACAGGGCATACATAGAGACGGTGAAAAAGAGTACCTCTAGCTTCGCAACAAAGCCGACACCGATCAGGAAATAAATAACCTGCTGACGCCACGTCACCTGCAGTCCACCATGCCTTGGTCGCTAAGGCTCTGATCCAACCCTCAGTCTTAGCCCCATTTATTTGGGACCCAGGAAGCCTCGCCCCCACGCCATACTTGTCTCCAGGGATCCTCTCCCGGGAGCGAAAGACGGCTTCCTTGCAAAAAACCTCGGTAAGCTTAGGGCTGGAGAGAGTGAGTGAGATTTCACGACCAAAGTCGTCGACGATGGTGCAAAAATCAGGCATGGACCACCCCAACCTGTAGAGGGTCATCCTCAAGGCCGGGATAGGACCTCGAACCTTGGCCCAAGACCAGTTGTCAAAAGAGAACACCGCGTTCTACCCCTCACGCACTTCGGCCCACGAGAGCGACCAAGGGAAGGCGCTGGTTCTCAAAATCCAAATTTCTCTGGCCCAACGAATGATAGGGGCACAGCCCCTCCAGGTCGGATCCCCTTCGAGCAAGGAAAGCACGTGTAAGGACGTGCCCTGAGCTCTCGGCTTGATGCAGGACATAGCCGTCCTGCGCAAGCAAAGCAACTCAGAATCCGAGACCCCGTAGAGGTCCGAGCCGTACACGGCTCCAGCCAGGGGACCCGCGGCAAAAGCCCGAAGGGCCTTTGGGCCAAGGGCCTCCCCAAGGCCTTGCAGACGCCGGGTTTTACGCAAAGCAGCAGCAGCACGGGCCTTCATTTTAGCAGACCTGCCTTTCCCTGCTCGCACAGGCCTACCAGCAGCGAAGTCCGAGCCGAGGTTGGTGACCCTCGTGCAAGCTGTGCCAACCAAGCGGCCAAGGGACTCCTCCAACCTGTGAGCAACAAAACTGCTGCTGCTAGCCATGCCAATCTTGTCCACGGCCAGCTTGCACTGCAGGGTGCGAGTGACAGCCGCATGCAGAGCGCGAGCTCCACGACAAATAACTCAAATGACATCCTTGGCTGAGCCCGCGGGATTCAGACTGAGGTCGTCTATGTACGCATCGAAGTTGCACCGCCCTGGTTCTCGCGGGATACCATCGAAGGCCTCCATGGCAAACACTCTGACCAAACTCGCGGCAAAGGAACACCCTGCCACAATGCCCCTCTTAGGGGAGAAAGGGCCTTCAAAAATACCCCCGAGGGCCATGCATCGCGCCGCAGATTACGCCTGAATGGCCAGTCGAGCAAGGCACGCGGGGAACCTATGTTGAAGGCATTTCTGCCATAAGTACTCAAGACCCATGTGCTCGCAGTACTTCCTCAAATCCCCCCCCCCAAAAAAAACGGGGCAGTGCACCGGCCCCGAAGAGCCCCACTTTCGGCCCCAATGGCCTGTCTACTAACAACGTCTCCAGCTCCTCTGAAGGCTCAAGCCGCCCAGTAGTCCATCTTATAGGACAGCTCCCACCTAAGAGCTTCACCTCTTCTACAGCGACCCCAAACTCCATACCAGCTAGGGAAAACACCAATCGGACGGAAGCCTCCAGAGGGCTTGTTAAGGAGAGCCAAAAGGACCCACGCAACCTGGGGGGGAGAGCCCCAGTGCCTTCCATAACAGCAAACCACAGAGCCATCGCATGAAGCGCAACATCGGGGAGCAGGGCAAAGCGTCGTCAATGGAACCCGCCCACACTCACAGCCGAGGCAGGCCTGCACTTCTTAGACACAGCACGAATCTCAGAAGGCTCAAGGAGGGGCGAGCGCGGCAAGATGCCGTTGCCGTCACCTTTGCAGAAGTCAGCAAGTCCACTGCCTTGCTGCCAGATGCCACTAAACTCATCCGCCTCCGCCTTGAGGAGACTCACAGGATCCGCAACAATAATACCACATCGAGAAAGGGTGGTGGTCGGAACCCACGCGATAGGCTCTCTGATGGCCTCCCGAGCGTTCCCCCCCCCCCCTTTTTCGAGACCCTGGCGGAGCCAGTCGTGCTAGTCCTTCCTCGAGGCCTTAGCAGACGCCGCCTTAGCAGACTGGGCAGCATCCGCCGTGCCCGAGATTAAACAATCGAGATCGGCATGGACCACGGGATCGCCGCTGCCCGCTCGAATGGCGCGTGCTAAGCTGGCGGCAGACGCGAAATACTTGCTCCACTCGGCGTCTGCGGCGACCGTCACCGAGGCAGGAGGGCGCTCAAGTGCCTCAACAACCTGGGGACCTCCAGCCTGCAGAGCGTCTCCAAGATAGCACCTAACAGCACGTGGCTGATTGAGAAGCCACACAATGCTACGCACATGCAGGTCCTCGACTCTGCCCGCAGGCTTCAGAACAGACTTCCAATAATGTTGGGGTATTTTCCCCCTGGCCCAAACGGTGGAGACTTCGGCGCCAAGAACATTCGCCGCGGCGCGTTCAGCCGAGTCCACCCACGCCATATAGCCAGGGCTAAGCAACCTGCGAGCCCCACGGGCGCCCCCAACGTTCATGGCCTCAAAAGCTTCTTGAGCAAGCGTCAGAGCACCATCCCAATCCCCAGGGCACGGAGCAGGCCCCACAGGAGCCCCCACAGGAAGGTCGGGGGGACGGCGGAAGGCGAGAGCCTTGAGGTCGCCGAGCGAACTGTGAAACTGCAACGTGACAGGGCGATGGGGAGCGAGGGGGGGGGGGGGGGGGGGGGGTCATCGGTGACCTTCACTTCCCTCAAGCAAAGCCCCAGGGCCTCCGAGAGGACAAAATAATCAAAGCGGTCAGGAGGGACCGCACTGGGGAAGTGGGCGCGACCACTGGTGCGAATCACCGACGCCCCAAGTTTCTTGCAGAAATCGGACCTCTCGAGGACCTCAGGGCCGAAGTTCCAGTCGGCCCCCCACAATGAACTCACAACCAACACCCTCTAGAAATTCC